GACAAAGGTGATAATATGTCTAAGGTTTTTAAGGAATAGAGCAAGAGTTAGGACAAGCAAAGAAATATTAAAAGTTTAGAGATTTTTTTACTATTTTTCAAAAAAAAAAAAAAGTTTAGAAGACAATTTTTATATTTAATAGATTAGTTTTAAAGAATTAATAATTGTTACGTTACCATTCTATTTTGAATTTATTGATAAGATTTATAAAAAGACTAATCAATGATAATTATTTCTATAAATATTACTAATAATTTGGTAAATAAAATTAAATTTAAAGATACAATCTCTAAAATGCAAAATTTGAGAACTAATTTAAAAATATTTCAAAAGATCGAGGGGCCATAGCCCCTGATCTCTTCGTGACTACATATAAGCATCTAAAACTGAGTTACATGTAGGGTTTCGCCCATGCTCTGCTCAGGGTTGAGAGTAGAGGTGACGGGTTTTTCTCCTTAGAGTTTCACTCCGGCAAAGGAGTTCCTTCTTTCTTGCTCTCTTCTTACCCTTACCTTCCTCTTCGATCTATCCTTCACCTTTGTCGACTGTCTTGCTTTGGAAACTTCAGCCCAAGGGACCACAAGGCAGTGACATATTCAGATCTATATCTGTGGTTAATTTTTGAAGGCTGTAACGAGGGTATCTTGTCGGTGGATGGGGTTTCTCCTATTCAACAAGTAGGAACCTCATTTTTGGCTCATTTTCTCGAATGGGATCTCGGTGAGGGTCGAATTCGGCAATGCTAGTTCATTCCAATTTCAAATCTGATGGTCGAATACGGAAGGAAAGGGATGTCGTGGGTGTCAGCAATTACAGTCTGTACGGGAAGCATGATATTCAAGCTAGCAAAAGGGCTCTAGTTCCCTTAATAGGGTGGCAACCTGCAGGTTGGGGATTGTTTGTTATTGGAAACCCTTGCTCTTCTCATGAAGCTGGTTAAATAGGTGAGGATGCCCAGTAGCTTCTGATGCTCCAAAGGACTCTCTTTCTACATTCGTAGCTTTATTTAACCCATACAACAATTGTAATTGCAATCCCTAATTGCAGATGACTCTCTTTACTTAATTATCTATATTCGTCATGGGCATAGTTTAAACCTATTACTAGTGCTGTAGGTTATGCTTTTAATTTGTCTTTTGGCTATAATGCTTTAGGCTACATACCCTGTAATGGAGTTTTTTCTGTACTTTCTTATTATTTAATATAATTTCTCCATTTCCTATAAAAAAAAAAAAACTGAGTTACATGTAGTTTGTTTGTATAATATAAACATACATTTTCATTTCTTTATTATTGAACTCAATCAATCTCAAGTTTAAGCTATTATTTTTCCCTAATAAAAGTAAATTTAGATAAAAAGAATTATTGAGAGAGCGAATGCAACAACTCTAAAAAAAAAAAAAAAAAAAAACAGGGGAGAGAGGCTCAGGGTAAGAGGCTAATTTTTACTTTTCTTTTGTCTATATATGTGTTAAGGCAAAAAAACTGAGACAACTTAAATTAAACAGAGGATTGCATCTAATTTTGGATTCTGTAGTGGTCTTTATTGGATTTTACTAATACATCATTCGCATGTAACAAAATCTATGAAAATGAATTGGATTCTGTAGCCTGACGTAACCACGTTCCCACGTACTTGTTCACGTACGTACTTCGAATCTATATTTTTTTTATTTTAAACTGATTATTACGCAATTAGTTATTAATAATTTTATTTGTAGAGAATTTTATTTTATAATTTAAATTATATTAAAATATAAAATAAAAAATTATTAGATGAGAAGAATATTTACTATTAGAAGGTTTACTTTTTATTTAATAATTAATGTAATATAATCTAATATAATTCAAATTATATTATATTTATTTTTATTTTTATTTAATTATTTGTCTTTTTAAATTACAATATTTTTATTTATAAAATGCATTAAATATTTGTTTCTCAAAAAAAAAAAATGCATTAAATATTTATTTTTTAAATTTCTATTTTTTTTTCTTTATACATAAGGCAATACTTTTAAGTGCTAAATAAATGAGAAGTCCTAGACTTGCATACTTTCAGTCCTAACAAATCTTCATTGAGACGAGTTCTAGCTGCATATGAGGGTTCTTCAAAACAATGAAAGCCTCTGTCTAAATGGAAAAATCCGGATGCCACTACAAGAAAACAGGAGTTTGCCTCACGAGAGATATGATGTAATTCACAATGTAATCACGATTTAACTACTAAATACAGGAACTTTACCAAGATGCCTAATAGCCACGCGCTTCATTGAAGTTGGTGGATTTTTTACCAGGTTTGAAGATCGAATTCCCAATTACTAACATCTGACAATACTAACCTATTAACTATTACTTTTTTTAAAAAAAAAAAAAAAAAAAAAAAAACCTACTCAATACGGCGTTTGCACAACCAACATAATGAGTAGTATCATCTGGCCGCTGCAGTGTCTGCGTTGCTAACAAAGAATTTGTTTCAAGGATAATCTTCCTGAGACCCTTCTCCCAACTATTCTAATTTATTTATAGAGGGAGAGTTTTTATTAGGAAAAGATTCGACATTCAAAACAATAATTATTTTACTTTTTGTCTTCTCTTATTTTTTCTTTGGGTGTACTATTTGGAGTACTCTTTTTTTATTAATTACTCTCTTCATTTATTTTTATTAAATTTAATGATTTTTTAACTTTTTAAATATAAATTTCAATTGAAAATTTAAGAACTTATATGAATAACAATTAAAAGTACTTTTTTTCTATGAGAAGCTCTTGTTAGATATTTTTATTTGATAAAAAAATTTCAATTATTATTTATATAATAAGTTAAGTTCTCATCTAAATTCATATTTGAAAGGTTAAAAAGTCAAATTATAACTACTAAAAATGAGCGAAAAAAAGTATTATGGAAAAAAAAAGTTGACATCAATTTTCTCAACTGGCCAATTAAAATTATACATGTGTTATTGGTATTAAAAATAAAAATTAAATTTTATATTTTGTTAGACAAATTAATAGAAAAATATACAATTAATATGTATTTAACCATTTATCTTTTCTTAAAATATTTCTATAAGTGTGCATGCCCAAAATGAAACAGCTAATAAAGAAACGGAAGGAATAGTGTTTAATTTCCCTTGTAATGATTTAAATGTATGTTCTATGTAATCTTAATAATAACTTATTAGTTAAAAAGTGCAGTTTTATAAGGTACATATGATATTTAAATCTAAAGACCAATACTCAAAGAAATTTATTTTCTTAAATATTATAATGCAAAGAAATTGGTTAATATTGAAATGCACTCTTCCCTCTTCGAACGAAATCAATTTAAGACATGAAAAAATTAATCCCAAGACACCATAACCATCAAAACTAGAAGAAACTATATTCCATTTGTTCTAAACTAGATTCCCTTACTTAAAAGAAATTACTATCAAATTATTTTAGTAGTTGACATAACATCATTGTATTAAAATTTAAAAATTGCAGTTTTAAAATATCAAAACGGAAAACTTAGGACATTATAGTATTCGATCTAAATCACAAAATGAGTGAAATGTAGGGTAGATCTAAGGCTATAAATGAATAAAGGTATTCATGAGGTACTTAACTTGAATTTAAGTTAGACTCAACTTGACTGATCAAGCTCTAATAAGAATTGGGTTCAAATTTGAGTTCAAAAAATCAAGAACCCAAAACTTGACTCAACTCAACTTGATTTGATTATACTACACTATATGAAAAATAATTATAGATTTAAATATTTAAAATTTTTATTTTTATTTTAAATTAAATTTGAATAACCAATTGAGCTCGCGTTTGCAAGTTAAGTTTGAGCTTTACACATTTAAACTTAATAAAAAATGAAACTTAACTCATTATTATAACATCAAACTTGAGTTCAAGTCCTTAAAAACTCAACTCAATTACAACGTGAGGTAGATCTCACTTAAATTTGAAACATTAGGTGACAATTTTTTTGGCAATATATCTGCTAACTTAAAACAAAAAAATTATATACCAAAAAATTTATACCATGGGCTTTTCATTATAAAAAAATCTCAAAATTTTTTAGAATGAAATCCTCCACTATTACCATATTAATACCTACTAATTTGTTCATTTGCCAATTCAAAATGAGGAAAAAAAAATAATTTACAATAGAAATATTCTAACTATAAATCTGATAAGCAATACTTCCAATAAAACAACGTTCAGTTTAGAGTTTTGATTTAAGGAAATGATAAAATTGCAAGTGGTATTATAAGTTTATAACATAATGTGTTATTGTATAATCAATTGTTTTACTTAGGAATTTATTTAAATATTATATATTTTATTTATTTAATAACACGTCACATTTATTTGATAATATATTATTAATATGAATTTATAATTTTATATATGTAATATTATAATTATAATATTACTATTTAACTATTCTATTAACAACCCTAAAACTTATATTTAGTGATAAGTAAATGTGTTTTATAAATTAAATTTAAAAATAAGTTATAAAACTAACATCCTTAAAAATTAATTTTTTTAAATATATCAAATAAATATAAAAGTCTTGCCTTGAGTTCGTTGAAGGAAAGATCAAAATCTCAAAATGTCAAAAAAATAAGGCAAAAGAAAAAAAAAAAAAAAACCATCTGAGAAAAGAAAAAAAAAAAACAAAACTATGCCACTGACCTGCGGCATGGCAAGACAATTTCGTGACTCGTGACATCATTGCGTGCACCCCTAATTATGGGGGTATCGAATTACTTACTAATCAAATAAATGGACCACGACGTAACAGTAACCCGACAGTTCTCTCTTTTGCTCTTTTTTTTTTTTCTTTTCTTTTACAAAAGCGAACACTGTGACTGTGTGAACACCAGAAAACCAGAAACTTCACCCTTTTCTCAACAGTAGAATGATACCAAAAAAAAAAAAAAAAATCAATTTCTAAGATACTCCTACAACTTTACTCCACTCATCCACAGCAGCTTCTTGATTCTTTCTTACATTAAATATAATAATCAAGATAAGAACAAATTTGTAATCCAACCAACAAGCACTACCATTTGCGTCTATCTTCCCCAGGACAAGCTGCCATGGCGGAACCCAGGAGAACAGCACCGTCTCTGTTTTCCTCCATTTTCTTGCTGCTCTTCACTCTATCATGTCTCTTCGCCCCTTTTGACGCTCAACAACAGTCACCCATCAAGACCATAGTGGTCTTAGTCATGGAGAATAGATCCTTTGATCACATGCTCGGCTGGATGAAGAAGTTCGTCAATCCATCCATCAATGGCGTCACCGGAGATGAATGCAATCCCGTTTCAACGACGGCCCCGAACCCACACTCCATTTGCTTCACAGACGATGCCGAGTTTGTGGATCCGGATCCGGGGCACTCGTTCGAAGCTGTGATGCAACAGGTGTTTGGTTCTGGCTCCAACTCCATTCCCTCAATGAGTGGTTTTGTGGAACAGGCGCTTTCAATGTCTCCTAACCTCTCTGAGACCGTCATGAAAGGGTTCAATCCGGAGGCGGTGCCGGTTTATGCTTCTCTCGTGAGAGAATTTGCGGTTTTTGATAGGTGGTTTTCTTCAATTCCGGGTCCGACCCAACCCAATAGACTGTTTGTGTACTCTGCTACTTCTCATGGTTCAACAAGCCATGTTCCCAAGCAATTGGCTCTAGGGTACCCACAAAAGACCATTTTTGAATCGCTTCATGAGAATGGTAAGAACTTCGGTATTTACTTCCAAAATATTCCGGCTACTTTGTTCTATAGAAATTTGAGGAAATTGAAGTATGTTTTCAAGTTCCATAATTATGGTTCCCGGTTCAAGAAAGATGCTAGAGACGGCAAACTTCCTAGCTTAACAGTTATCGAGCCGAGATATTTTGATCTTAAGGTGTGGCCTGCTAATGATGACCACCCTTCTCATGATGTTGCTAATGGTCAAAAACTTGTCAAGGAGGTGTATGAGACATTGAGAGCTAGTCCTCAATGGAATGAGACCCTTTTGATCATTACCTATGATGAGCATGGTGGGTTCTATGATCATGTTGAGACTCCTTTTATGAATATTCCTAACCCAGATGGGAACACTGGTCCTGCTCCTTATTTCTTCAAATTTGATAGGCTTGGGGTTCGTGTGCCGACAATTATGATCTCTCCTTGGATCAAGAAAGGCACTGGTAAGAGAATTCTCAGAAATTATTCTCTTTGCTTAATTGTTACTTGTAGCAGCTAATTTTGTTCATTGTCTTGGATGGAACCAATTTTTAGTATTTTGTGGTGTGGTGTTGAATGTTGACATTCGTAGGAATTAATTTGGTTCAACATTAAGTTTTAAGCCCATAATCTTCGGCACATGATCACTCTGCATGAATTGAGTGGAATTTTTGTTTTTAAGTCAATAGATTTTGACAAGTTGATATTAATTAACAATCGCTCTCTGTCTTATATGTCTAGTTTTATATGGTATTGGCAATTTGCCAATTATTATCAAAAAAATATGTCTGGAAACTCTCTGCTTTTTGTTGCAGTTGTAAGTAGGCCCAAAGGACCTGCTCCAGATTCTGAATTTGAGCACTCCTCAATTCCTGCAACTATAAAGAAAATGTTCAACCTCTCTTCCAACTTCTTGACTCATAGAGATGCTTGGGCCAGCACATTTGAGGATGTTGTTGGAGAGTTAACTTCTCCTAGAACTGATTGTCCAGGTACTCTGTTTTACCAAAGCTTGTAGTGTTTAGATAGTCAGGAATTCAGATCGCAATGGTCCTTTATAAACTAAACAGAGGAAAAAACACCTTCTATGATGAAATGTAGAGGAAATAAATTGGAAATATCAGGAAGATCAGACTAAGTAGAAAGTGAGTTTATTTTATATTGATGAGTTTTCCTGGTAATTTGGGAAATAATAGAACCTCTAGTTCTCATGTACTTCAGAAAGGGGAAAAAGTTTGATTGCCATGCTAAATTAGACCTACTAGAATAGTGCTTGGCCTATTCAAGTTTGTTTTTTGTGGATTCATTTAGTATTAGAGAGGAAACTAAATAATAGTTTTCTTTGAATTCATCTCAGAGACATTGCCGGATGCTATGCCTTTGAGGACTACAGAAGTGAATGAAGAGAGTGAGCTCTCTGAATTCCAGGGTGAACTGGTTCAACTAGGAGCTGTTCTCACTGGTGACCATTTCTTGAGCAGCTTTCCTGGTGAGATGAGCAAGAAGATGACTGTGAGACAAGCTCATGAGTATGTGAGAGGATCTGTATCACGATTCCTGAGGGCAAGCAAAGAAGCAATCAAGTTAGGAGCAGATGAATCTGCAATTGTAGATATGAGATCATCACTCACTACTAGATCTTCAGTCCATAATTAGTTGAATCCATGCAAATTTATCTCTGCATCCATATTTCCTACAGGATTTAGGATTATGTGCATCTTTGTTAAATTTGACAAGAATAATATAATAAACTTTATTGCTAGACTAGAAGTGAATGTTGCAGTTACCAGTGTCATATATCATGTTCTCCCAAATGCCATGGTGTTTATAATTTATAAACATGGTCCGAACAGATATCCACTTGCATGTCTGGGAATGAGCTGCATTTTCTTTTAAGCATCTCTATGTACCTCCTTTTGTTAATACAAAGCTAGTAACCACTTAATTCCTGCACTGCAGTTTCTTTTAAGTATCTCCATGTGCCACCTTTTGGTCAACACAAAGCTAGTAACAACTTCATTCCTGCACTGCAATTTGTGAAGTTCAACTAGTCGAAAAATCCTTCAGTAGTTCCATTAAAGAATTTGAGATCAAATCCGGCCATTTAGGGGAGTAGAGATTTAAGGTAGCAGACAATTTTGACCTCCCATTTCTAACCGAACACACACACACACACACACGAGTTTTCATTGGCATCACAAGTTAGATTTGCATAAACAAAGTGACATTTCCTTGTCCAAAACATACACAACAAGCCAAAATCTTTAATTGTGCGTGTCCAAATAATTTAGGGAGACTCCCTTCTCTCCCCCTAGCTGTGCTGTAGCTTCTCTCCCCTCATGGCAGTTAGAGAGGATGAGAAAAAGGTAGGCGAACCTCTTTCTCTTTAAAGAAGGTTTCCCTCTTGAATAGAATTTGTCTCTCTTAAAAGGGGTTTTTGCCTAGGCTTTTTCAATATTTGTATTGTGTTTTGCCATGGTAGAGGAGGGGGGAGCATAGAGGTGGTTAGAGTGATTAGACTCATATCAATTGCAGCACTTGCTTGACTGTCAACTACATGGTTAGAGGTGGTGTCCTTGGCCAATTTTTAGGCTCTAAAAGTGAAGCTGGCATGTCAGGAGAAACTTCTAAGTGGCTTGTAATGCTTGAAGTGGTTATCTATCTACTCTATAGCCTCGATTCATGCCTTTATAGCAATTATTCTGGCATCTTTACTATTAGATGGCTTCGTGGGCCTAATTGTGTAGATATTTTTACAAGCGGTATTGTCTATTGCTATTTGTTTTAAGTATAGCTTTTATGCCCTTTGTTGTGCAGCGCTCTCAAAGGATTATTGGTTAACTGTAATCTCTTCTTTTCTCAATTAATGAATCTTGAGGATTACCATACAAAATCGAAAATGATACAATTATAATGCCATGTGGTTTTGTAAACTTTCAATATAATGTATTATTATATAGTTGAATTTTTACATCAAAGTATCCGCTTATGATATTGTATACAACTACTAATTTAATACCATGTCACAATTGTGAGTTTTACAATACTATGTGATATTCTAACTATATATTACTTTAAAAACATTTTAATTTAAGATAGATGTCTTTTGGAAATTGGGGAAAAGGGAAAATCACTTACTTTTTAAAACTAGCAGACCAATTCCTTAATGGAAACCACTATAAAAGTTGAGAATGTGGTTTTATAGTTAAAACTGCATCAGATTGCAAAACCCTAATCATTGAATGGGGAAAAAAACCCACATTAATTGAGCCTGTCACATTCAATGGTTTAAACTGTGTAATATGGACAAGACATTTATAATAAAAGTTATAGTTTAAGGTGGTGTTATAGGGATAATCTTTTTATATTACTTTTTTACACAACTTTTATATATCATTAAATTAGTAGATGCATTCAATATTACGGGTCTCACATGAATTAAAAGAACCAATTATTTAAATGATACGTCAGGTTGTACAAAAAGGTATGATAAAAAGGTTGTATAAAAAGTTTTATCTAAAATATAGATTTTGACTAAAACCTTTATTTAATATTGGTTTTCTGTGGAAATTAGTTACCATTAAGCCTTAATATGTGTCACTATCATCTAAATCATATAATCTACGTCAATCTTGGTTATTTGACTAGCGTTGTAGACAAGAAGGCTAAGGCAAGTATATCATCCATAGAGATAACATGGAAAGTGTATCAATGAGGATTTTGCTTGTTAACACTCATGGATATCCTAAGCCAAATGAGGACAATATCATTAAAGCTAAAAACCCACCAAAGTAATGACCAACCCTCTACTTCCTTAGTTACACCTTCATTCTCTCTTAAGTTTTATCAGAGAAGACTAATCCCTTTACTTTTAATTCCTGCTAGCACTTTTAAAGGTCTAAGTACCATTTTGGTCCCTAAACTTTGTCAATTGGTACCAAAATGTATCCCTAAAATTTTTTATACCATTTTGGTCCCTTAGCTCTTCAATTTGATACTGAAATGGTTTTTTCTTTAAAGTTTTCGTTATCTCTGATGCGTATTGAATTTCATATTTTACATTTTAGTTCCTCAACTTGCATTAAATTGACACTTTAATCCTTCAACTTTTCAATTTAGTCCCTAATTTTACTTTTACTTCCTAGAAATTTGGCCCTCAACTTTCAAAAATTTTACAATTCAATCTCAAATTTTTTATTTCTTACAATTGAGTTCTTTTTTGCAAAACAACATAAATTATGTAAAATCAAATAAAATAACATTTAACACACTCAAATACAATTAAAATCAAGGTTAAATAGCATCGTATAAGGCATAAAAATTCAATCTATCAAACTCAACAAAAATCTATTAAATTTTAAATGATGTGGCAGTTCCACCTAGGATCATTTGCCAACTTAGACAAGCAAGATCCATTAATTAAAATAAATTAAATTATCTTACAAATTAAAATTTAATAAACGTATATAAAAATCAATTTCAACTTAGAACTTTTAGGTTGTTTTTTGTTTCAATGTTTCCCTCTTAAGAACCTCATGTCTAGAGTACATTTTTCACTTCAATATTTTTAAATTTTTTGAGGTTTAAATTAATGAGAATAACGATGAAGAACTGATAGATAAAAGAATGATAATGATTTCCCTTTGACTAGAGACTAATTTTGAACTGTGTGATATAGGATGGGGATAACAACCTTGCGCACTATTGATATTGTCTGCTTTGGCCTATGAGACATCACGATTTTAAAACATGTCAATAAATGTTAATAGGTGTTCACTTATATACTTAGCATCATTTCCATGCTTTGTCAATGTAGGATTTGCCTAAAGGTGTCACATACAACCCTTCCTTTTAGACGTAGCATCCTGATTGAGGCTTATCCCACCACCATTCAAGAGGTCACGTGGAATTGTTTTGAAACCATATATAACAACCCAGCCCACTGTTGATCGTCTGCTTTGACACATCGAGCCTCATGGTTTTGAAAATAAATCAATAAGGAGGTTAATAGGTGTTGATCTATATACTTAACATCTCTCTTATGCTTTGTTGATATGAGATTTGCCTAAGGGGTGTTATTCTTAATTTTTGACAACTACAAAAAATCATGTGTAAATTGGAAAGTTGAAAATTAATATTTTGGAAAGCAAATTTTCAATTCACCAACTTTGTTAATAATATATTCAAGTTTAAAGGTATTCATAATTGCTTTTGTAAACAAACTCATGGAGAAGGTTGCACTTCACTTTTTTGAGGAATTTGATTTACATCTTTATTGCCTTTCCTTAGTCAAAAAATAAAATTCTATTTTTTATAATCACAACCTACTATTTTTTCAAATTCTTCAAGACTAAGATTTTATATTTATGGGTGAGTTTCCTTATGTGAAAATTTTCCAATTTGAATATTTGAAACTATTGAAAGTTCTAGCACTTGGATTTAAGTTCCAGCATATTATTGCTCTTTGATCTTCCAAGGTTATACAAGAAATTTGAAAAGTTCCAACATGTGTATTTAAGTTTTGGGACCTTCAAAGTTGATTATGTTAGTCTCAAAACTTTATTTCTTGTTCCAAAATATTGTTGCTCTTTGACCTTTTTCACAAATGCAAAAAAGTCACAAAGTTTCAAAACACATCAACAAGTTCTACAACCTTCAACGAAATCTTGAGATTAAATGAAATTAAAGACTTTCTGTTTTGGGTTATAATGACTAGTTTGACCTAAATCTAAGCATGAGGGTTTAAATAGGAACCTACAAAAGGCAACAAATAAGAAGAGTAGAACCTTAATGCATACTTGAGATCGACTTTCAATATTTTAACCTTGTTTTGGTGCTTCATCTCTTTATCTGATCAATTGAGTGATCATTTGCTTTTGATTTCTCTTTTATTACAAAAGTGAGAGAGTGTTGGGGAAAGTTTTGTTAGATCTGGAAAACCATCCTAGTGGTTAGGATTGAGTATGTGAGAGATTATATGTCACGCCCCAAAACCCAAATTCGAGGCGCGACAGACGCCGTACACTCGTGAGACGAGTCTCACAAGTGCACAAGGCTCAGAACTTATCAAATTCACACTTTGATACCATCAAAATCTGAAGATCAAATTATAAAATCTCTCTGATATCATAAATCTCCAAATACACTCGAGTTTACAAGATCATAGTTATTTCTAAAGTCTATATCAATCTCGAAATGGCTAGCATTCTAACTCGTCACTTCCCGTGGTTTCCCCGTCCTCGATTTCACATCCTGAAATAGTGGACAAGGAAAAACTATGAGATAAACTCAGTAAGTAAATATGGAGTGCCCCTTATCAAACTTAAAGCATGCCAACAAGTACAATCACGAAAACAGATACAATACGGGCACAAAATAGACGTCTCCTCTATAGGTCACAGCCAGTGTATAATCCCCACTAGCTGGGTTGAACGAACCGGCTCTTTCACTAACATGTCGACATGTGCTAGCGTTTATAACCTCCCCCACTAGCAGGGTCACGAATAACATGACCACATCGGAGACAAAACAGGCAGAAGTTAACAGGCAAATCACAAATCACAATTCACAATCACTTTCAGATCATCAGGACAGTTCACAATCACTTTCAAGTAGGCATGCTCAATTTAATGAAAAACATAAACATTTCACTTCAAATCAGTCATGCTCATGTAAAACGGGTTTAGTCCCGCTACCACTTCAAAAACAAATCAAAACATGCTTTTAAAATCAAAGGGCGTTACCATAATTTACTTACCTCACTTGCAAAAAACCTAGCACTCAATTCACGCACTAACTGATAGAATGATCGGGAACCTAACCAAATATTCAAGAATTAATTCCACTATCACAAATTCACACTGAAATCATCATTAAGATCACCCCTAATCACAATGCTATTTCTATCAATTTCCACATAATCGGGCATCTCCAAATTTATCCTTATATCACAAACTAATCATTTAAATCCCCGTTAATCGTTGGCCCTCGGGGTGTGAACAGTGTCGGTGAACAGTACCCCGACGTGAACAGTAACCCCACTCCCACAAATTGGCCAAAACACTAACTAATCTCACGGGATTTTCCTCAAAAATCACAGCAACTAATCAAGCTAATTTACACTTAAACCAAGCTTAAAAACATAGCTTAAGCTATCAAAATTCATCCCCAATTTCTGCAAACTTTCGGACATCACAGGGGCAACCAATCCATGGACAAAATTCAACAATTAAAGGGTAAATTAGGACTTAGAGAAGCTGCCACATACCATAAATCCAGCAAGCAAAACCGGAGTGCAGATTGGGGAGGAGGCCGACGGCAAGTGCAGGGGAGAAACTCACGGATCTACCCAAAATTAAAGGAACCCAAGAGCAATTAAGGTAGACCCAAGTTAATTCAAGCAAGAACAGAGGGATTGGTAGCTGTTTCTTACCCAAAACCGGAGCAAATCACCCCCACAAAGCAGGAGCAGCCGGACGGTGAGGAGCAGAGCAAGGCAGATCCGGATTTTTCCAGCAGGAGGGGGAAGATTTCTGGGTTCTAGGTGTGTTGTAGAGCAAGGAAAGAAGGAGAAAACCAAGCTTATCTCACCGGTTTCTCAAAGCATGGCTGGTTCCCCTTTTTTTTTTTTTCCTCTCCGGTTGCAGCGGGAAGACGAGCAGAAACGGGCTGGAGAAGAAAGAGGAAAAGGGAGAAAAGAAATAAGCCATCCTTATCCAATTTCTACTCTTTTAAGCCCCTCAACTTTTGAAATATTCATATTAGGCCCCAAAACAATCTTTTCTCACAATCAAATCCTTAACTTACACTTAAATATTCCCGAAAATTTGGGGTATTACATTATAATAAGGGGTTGAGTTGTTGAAGGTGAATTGCCCTAATAAAGCTATTTTGAATAATTATCTTTACACTAGCAAGTTGGAGAATAATGTTTTAATTTATACCTAACTTTCAAGCAAGTGGCTTAAGAAGTAGAATAGGCACAAATTGTGACTGAACACTATATACTGTCATAGTTAAGCTTTCTCTTCCCTTACTCTTTTAATTTTTGTACTTTAGCTTGTTTTGTTTGTGTTTATGTTTGATTGTTCATCAATTTACTCTTAAAAATTGCATAGATTTTCAAAACCCAATTCACTCTTTCTTGAGTTGCCGTCATCTGAGCCAACAATGGGTCGCTATAAGGTAGTAAAAAAGGAGGCTAGAAAAGGAGATTTAGAGAGAAAATTTGTTTCATAAAACAATTAATTTCATTTAATAAGATTATTAATGTAAATGATATTTAATTAATTTACTAACTTTTAATTTATAAAATAATTATATCATTTATTTTAATTAATAGGTTCCACTTGTCCAAATTGACAAATGATCCTAGATAGAATAACCACATCATTTAAATTGGTTAAACCCCAATTTAGTCCCTCTACTTTGGTAAAAAGTCCCTTCTTAGTCATTTTACTTAAAAATGTTCCTTTTTGGTTCCTGAAGTTTGAAATTCGATTCCTTTTCAGTCCCTCTGTTAAGTTTTGATGTCAGGTGATGGAAATTTCAAAGTAGAGGAACTAAAAAAGGGGGTTTCCCCCCGAAAGTATAGGGACCATATTGGGGCTAATTATAGTCCCTTTTTGGTTCCTTTACTTTGAAATTTCTACCATCGAATATGTCACGTGTGCAAAACTTGATGGAGGGACTAAAAATGGGTTGAATTTCATTATTTAGGGACTAAAAAGGGGCTTTCTTAAGTAAAGGAGCTAAAGAGAGGCTTTTTACCAAAGGAGAGAGACAAAAATGGGGATTTAACCTTTAACATTTAATAAATTTCTACCAAGTTTTATAGATTGAATTTTTATGCATAATCTGGTGCTATTTAGCCTTGATTTTCATGGTATTTAAGTGGTTAAATGTAATTTTATTTGATTTTACATGACTTTGTTGTTTACATAGAACAAGACTCAATTGTAAGAAATTAGAAATTTATGGATTGAATTGTAAAATTTTTGAAAGTTGAGGGAAAAAATTGCTAATAGAAAAATTGAAATTGGGACCAAATTAGAAAATAAGTGTGAGGACTAGAGTTTTAATCTGATACAAGTGGAGAGACCAAAATTTGGCACACATAAGAGTTAATGGAATTTTTTAGGTTAAACTACCATTTTGGTCCCTTAACTTTTCACTTTGGTGTAAAATTATCCTTAAACTTCAAAAAGTACCAAAATTATCCTTGAACTTCCATTTTTGGCACCAAAATAGCCCTTCCATCAATAGAAGAATTTAATATCACTTAATTTTTTAAATGTTAATGACATGTAAATCTAACTAGGAAGATTTTAATCTAGTGGTATGTTTATTTTACATATCAAATTGTTTGTTGCCCTTTTCATCCTCTTCTTTTAGTTGAACCCACATAAAAATTTATGTTGAAAGATCCCTTCAATATCACAATCAACCCTGAGATGTAGAGAATACCCTAAGGCACCAACATTGCTGCCAACCTTTATTTTCTCTTGGAGGAACTTCTGGTGAGGCATTATCCGTGATAGACTCCGCCAACCATGTTGCTGACCTTGTTGCTGACCTTGATTTTCTTTTGGAGGAACTTTCTAGTGAGGTGATATCCATAATTAACTCCACCAACCTTGCCATCGACCTTGATTTTCTCTCTTTAAGCTTTCCTTTTTCTAGGTTTTTAGCTTCCTTGTTTTTGAAATTGCATTCCATTTGGGAACCCACCTCAAAAGGAAATGGATTTTCATTTTGGTTTCTTGTTTTTTGTTTTTCAGTTATTAAAAAAGGACCTTTGTGACGATGATGTGAGTTTTTTTCTTAGTGATTCATTGTTTGTAATTCTGTTTCCTAAGAATCTATGAACACCCAAAGAAACCACTCTTTCATGGCAACCAAACACACACCAAAAAAGAAAAAGAAAGTAAAAAAAACTTAGCCTCTATGGAAACAACCTAGATCTGGGTTCTTACGATCAATCCTAAAGGGCTCAAATCTTTGTAATCCTTGGCTTAATTGACGATATCCATCATCGATCCATGGCTCTAATGGAAAATGGTTTTCTCTTAGAGAACCGAAAATTGGGTTCTTTCTTAGAGAGAGAACCTAGATCTGAGTTGTAATATCCCAAAATTTGGGGATATTTTAGCATTAAATAAGGGACTTATATGAGGGAAAATATTATTGAGGGGCTTGATAGTCAAATTTTTAAAAGTTTAGGGACTTAAAAGAAAGGAAATTAGGATATGGATCAAGGCTGATATTTCTCTCCTCAGCCACGTGTTTTGCTCGTCCTCATCTTCTTCTCCTTCCCGACTCTTCCTCCCGACAACCCCCCCAAGCCCTTCTTGCCACCGACTCATTTTGAGAAAAATTGGTGACCAAGCTTGGGATTTTCTCTTTCTTTTCTTGTTCTTGAACCCAGAAATCCCCCCCCCCTCTGCTGGAAATCCCAGATCTGCTCTGTTCCTCCCCTGCAGCCGGCAAGAGCCCCAGCCACCGCCACCCATTTCCGGTCGGGAACACCGGCAAAGCTTGGGGATTTCTCCCTATTTTCTTGTTCTAGAACAGCCACTAAACCAGAATTTCCAGATCTGTTCTGCTCTGCGTCGTCCTCCCTTTGCTGTCCGCGAGTTCTGCTATGTGGGTTTGAGTTTCTGGGCATTTTCGGGTAAGCCACAGCCATAAACTTCATCTTTCAGCTTGATTTAGGCTGGGTTTACCTTAATTGCTTTATCCCCTTCCAATTTTGAGGTAGCCGTGAGTTTCCCCTGCAGATGCCGCCGGCTTCTTCTCCCTGCCAGCTCCGGTTTGCTTGCTCGAATTCTGGTAAGTTGCCGGCTCTTCCAAGTCCAATTTAACCATGTAATTGTTGCCTTGTGTGTGTCCAAATTGTGCCGGAAAAGGGGATAAATTCCGGTAGCATTTAGCAGCCCTTTAAATGTGTTTTGTTGTTTAAACTATGTGGGAATTAGCTTGATTAATTGCTGTGATGTTCTGTATGCATAGCCGGGCTTTAGTGCTGTTTTGCCAAGCTCGGTTTCTCCATTTTGTCCGTTGAAAGTTTCCTGTTGAAATGGAGGAGTTTTGGCAGCTTTAAAACATGGGTTTTAAGCTTGCTTAACGTAGAAAATTAGCTTGAATTGGGTTGTGATTTTTGGAGAGAAAATCCCGTGAAATTAGCTAGTGTTTTGCCCAAATTTTTGAAGTTACCGTCACTGTTCACTGATGATCACTGTTCACGGGGTACTGTTCATAGGGTACTGTTCATAGGCACTGTTCACACACCGAGGGTTAACGATTAACGGGGATTTAAAGGTTTAGTTTGTGATATAAGAATGAATTTGGAGATGTCCGATTATGTGGAGATTGATAGAAATAGCATTGTGATTAGGGGTAGTGCTAATGATGATTTTACTGTGAATTTGTGGTATGATTATTAATTGTGGAATATTGTGATTAGGTTTTGATCGTTTTGTCACCGTAGCACTTGGGTTAGCCTTCTGTTCTGTGCGAGTAAGGTAAGTAAATCATGGTAAAGCCCTTCGATTTTAAAGCATGTTTTAAACTGTTTTTGAGATGGTGGCAAGGTTTAACTTGATTTTTAATTGATTTTATCTGCATCTGAGTGTGATTAAACTGAAATGAGAATTTTGATGATTTTCATGAAAATTATTGTTTTCTGGAAGTGAGCATGATTGGAATGAAAAAGTGAGAATTTCATTGTTTTTCTGGAGTTATTGTGCCGAGCATGATTGGTTTGAAATTGAGTGGAGCATGCCTATTTGGAACTGATTGAACTGTTTTGATTAATTGAGAGTTTTGTAAATTATGATTTTCTGTTAAATCCATGCCCACATGGAATGTTCTGGTTATTTATGAAATTATGGATTTCGATCGTGAATTTGGGACTTCGATTGTGAATTACGGATTTTGATTGTGAATCTTGCATGGTTATGTCTCTGATATAGTCATGATTTCCGATCCTCGCTAGTGGGTGTGTAGCACATCCGATCCCCGCTAGTGGGTGTAACGCTAGCACTTCCGATCCCCGCTAGTGGGTGTGTAGCACATCCGATCCCCGCTAGTGGGTGTAACGCTAGCACTTCCGATCCCCGCTAGTGGGTGTAATGCTAGCACATGTCGACATGTTTACTGATATGACCGGTTCATTCTGACGCCTGCCTCTGGGCGAATACATTGGCAAATTTCTATCGCCTGCCAGTGGGTTGTTATAACACTGGCCATGACTTATAGATGAGACTACTGATGAGATTTATTCTGCATGAACGGTTTGTCATGAAACACTGTTATTGAACTGAACGGGACTTTGCATTAACGGTTTGTCAGGAAACGTTTTGTTATTGAACTAAATCTGATTTTGCATTGACGATTTTGTCATTGAACGTTTTGCTATTGAATCGAATTTGATTTCCGCATTAACGGTTTATCAGTGAAAGTTCTGTTATACTTACATGGTTTATCTGGCATGCTAAAAGTTTTACCCAAGGGCTATTCATAATTACTTACTGAGTTATCTCATAGTTTTCCTTGTCCACCATTTTAGGAAGCGATACTGAGGACGAGGGAAACCGAGGGGAGTGACGAGTTAGAAGGCTAGTCACCTGGAATTTGATATAGATTTTAGATATAGATTATGATTCTGTAAGCTAGAGTGTATTTGGAGATTTATGATCTGAGAAATCTTATAATTTGATCTTCAGATTTTGGTGGTATCAGAGTACAGTATGATAAGTTTCGAGCCTTGTGCATTTGTGGGACCCGTCTCACGAGTGCACGGCGTCTGTCGCGTCTCGAAATTGGGTTTTGGGGCGTAACATGAGTTCTCAAGGGAGAACCCACACAGATTTGGAAGGGGAAAGAGGAAGAAGAAGGAGGAGAGAGAAAGAAAAAGAAAAGGTTAAAACTCCAATTTAGTCTCTAAACTATTGTACAAATCCCTAATTTGGTTCCTGAACTAAAAAAAACCCTAATTTAGTCATTGAACTATTGTACGGACCCCCGATTTGGTCCCTAATGTTTACTAATTTAATCTCAAGTTGGTCCTTCCATATAAAAAATAGTTGACCTGTTTGTTACTTAACGATAAAAAACAATAACTTAACGGCCACATGTCACGTTAATAACGAGACACGTCAGCTATTTTTTTGTGCGGAAAGACAAACTTAGGATAAATTGGCAAATAATAGGGACCAAATTAAGGATCCGTACAATAGTTCAAGGACCAAATCAAGGATTTTTTTAGTTTTTTGTGCGGAAAGACAAACTTAGGATAAATTGGTAAATAATAGGGACCAAATTAAGGATCCGTACAATAGTTCAAGGACCAAATCAAGGATTTTTTTAGTTTTTTGTGGGGAAAGACAAACTTAGGATAAATTGGTAAATAATAGGGACCAAATTAAGGATCCGTACAATAGTTCAAGGACCAAATCAAGGATTTTTTTAGTTCAAGAACCAAATTGGGGTTCGTATAATAGTTCAGGGACCAAATTGGGGATTTTACCAAAAGAAAAAGGTAGAAAGAGGAGGGAAGAGGAGTAAGAATGTTGGGAAAGAGGAAGAGGTGGAAGGATGAGAGAGAAGAATGGAGGAAGAAGATGAATAATATAATATAAATTATGTGGGCTTTTTATTTAAATAGAAAAAAAATGCCACATGGAAAAAAAAAAATGCCATCTCATCACCTTTTTGCATGGTTTGTTTTCTACATAATCATTATTTTTTTAAAAATGTGATTTTGTGGCATTTTAACATGCCACCTGTCCTTTCTGTTGACAGAAGGACTATTTTGGTATCAAAAATGAAAGTTTAGGAATAATTTTGGTACCTTTTGAAGTTTAAGGATAATTTTAATATCAAATGAAAAGTTTAGGGATCAAAATGGTCTTTTACCCAATTTTTAAGGGAAGAACCATTGTGGTAATTAAAAACATTTTGGAACCATTTTGGTACCAACTTAGAAAATTTAGTAACCAAAATGATACTTGAACCTTTTATTTTTGTTGAAGGTTAGTAGAATATCTAATTAAAGTACTCAATCATTTATTCAAAACACTTGTACACACACTAATATACACATTGTCCATGACATAAGCTTAACAAGGAATTATAAACCATTTTCAATCTTTAGCTGTTAGTTAAAGATGTTTTATAAATATATTTTTTTACATGAACTTTACTTAGCTAAATTTAATATACCTTTTTTTTTTTTTAATTGGGAACAACATTCATTAAGAAATCCATGAGGGTGGCTCATAGAGTCTACAAGTTGCCAAACTTGTAATGAAAACAACAACGGAACTATATGATAGAAATCTTGCTATGAACTGCCTTCCTACCTTAAAAGGGCACCATTGTAGCTACTAGGACAAGTTCTGTCTATCATGCTATTCTATTTGTCCTCTTGATTGCCACTACTATCTCTACTTAACATACTAAAATGAAATAATGAAAAGTCTACCGAACGACAGTAAAGGACTATAATGTCACAAGACTACACCTAGGGATTTAGTTGACTTCAATAGAAAAATAATGTAAGGACTTAAACTAAAACCTATTGGGGCTTGGGAGACTCAAGGGCAATTAAGCCCATAACTGCCAATGCCATGCCAACTCTACTTTTTTGGCAACGGTACCGTCTCAATATAAATTTTATTTACTAGTGCCCTGCCATTCTGCTATACAACCTCAAATCCAAAGTAGAATTTTCAACAATAATCCCTAAGACTTTTAAATATCCAATAAAATTAAACAATGTCAAATTAAATGTACAAATTTATTTTTGAAAAATCAAATACAATGAAACTAAAAATTAAGAAATTAGATATATTTGGCAAACTTGCACTCCTTGGTACCATATAGCAATTTTATCTCTGCCCTTGTCGTACCAAAGCCATCACCTACTGTGCCACCAACCTCTCATGCATTGACCTACTGTGCCATCGCTTGCCGATCTAGCAAGGCAAGACTCCTAATCAATGCCAAAAAAGGGAAGAGAAGAAAGGGAACAAACATTGGGAAGAGATGAGAAAAGAAGCCTAGCTGTCTGAGACTCGCTCTCCGTTGAGGATACACTATCATCAAACAGCCTCTCTCTTTCGTAACCCTAGGATTATGAAAGGACCTCTAATACAATAGTATGAATGAGATCAATATTCAAAATGCTTAAATTAAAGAAATGCTTTTAATATTTAAGTTTATTACTCCCTAGATTCAACTTTAGTTGACTTAGATTTTTTTCTACTAAAATAAGAATGTAATAACTAATTAATAAAATTTTATATTTATCTCTAATTAACCATAACTTAAATAAGCTTACTTATTATAGTATGTGTTGTAATTATAGTTTTAGAATAAAGGTAAAATAAAAATAAATAGATTAAATAACATTGTTAAATAAAAAATGAACAACTTATTTTAAAAATCTCAAATTAAAAAGCGAAAGAATTAAAGTTGAAGGGAGTTAGTAAGAATGTTCAGAGTTTGAATGGATCGGTTTTTGACTATTTTTTTATCCAATTCAATTTAATTGGATTGAAAAAATGTCAAACCAATTCAATCTAGTTAATATGCTACAGCCAAACCAATCCAACTATTATTGGATTGGATTGGTTTAGATTGGTTTGAATTGGATTGATAGGTTTTTTTGCAAAGAAAAAAGGAATATTTTAAAAAGTTTGATTGTACTACTCTTTTTTTTCTTGAATTTCAATCATACAAAAACAAAAGCAAAATTGAATATATTTATAATAAATGTAAGTATCATATAACATAATTTTAGGGTTAAAATGAATAAATGGTGAAAATATAAGAATTAGGAAAAATCTTTTTTTAGTTAATTTTTTTAATATTGGTTCGGATTGGATAGATATAAAGTAAAACCACAAATTAAATTAATTTAATTACTTTTTAATTTTTTATCCATATACATCCAATTAAATAACGGTTTTAATTGATTTTTAATTAAATTGGTTTGAATTTGGTTCGGATTAGTTATGATATTAACACCCCTGATAGGCAATATAAAGTAATTAATATTCTAGATTTGATAAGAAAACAAAGGTTAAAGCCAACAATGGTCCTTCTACTATGGGAATTAGTTCATAACCATCCTTTTACTAAGGAAGAGCTCATTGGGGGCCTCTACTTGCACTGGATATTCATTAGGGTCCCTCTCCTTACCAAAAATAAAGATGTATGGATAGTTTAAAAAAGGGCAACATCTATACTTTTTAATAATTGATAACTTCACACTTTTTCTTTTTGATAGTCTATAGAAAGTTAAATTGATGCCAACAAAAGTACAACTAAAAGAATGGTTCAAGTAAAAAGAAAAAAAATAAGTGAATGAAAAAAAAGTAGTTTTGTGAAAATCTCTCTTTCAAGTGAAATAAAAAATTTTAAATTTAAATTATAAATATATGAAGTGACTAAAAAAATAAAAAAATTATTTTTAAATATATAACTCCCAATTATATATAAAGAAAAAAAGAGAGAGTAAAGATAACTTAAAATGGCAACATCAGTTCTTTGTAGTAATTGATGACCTTGCCCTTCTTTCTTTTTGGTAGCCCATTGGAAATTAAATTGATGCAAACAAAAGGACAAGTAAAATTTCACGAGAATAGTTCGATAAAAAAAAAAAAAAAAATTTGATTTTGAACTTTTTCTTTTTGGTAGCTCATCGAAAATTAAATTGATGCAAACAAAAGCACAAGTAGAAAACAAGAAGCGATAACAAAAAGCGACAACAAAAGTGATGTAATTGATAATCTTTCTTTTAAGTAAAATATAAAATTTTATATTTAAGATATAAACATGTAAATAAAATAAATAAAATAATAAAATATTATTTTTATTATATAATTTAAAATTACAAAAAAGATTAAAAAATAGAGATGGTTTAAAAGCTCAATATCATTACTTTGTAATAATTAATAACTTTGCACTTTTTCTTTAAGGTAGTCTATGGGAAATTAAATTGATGCAAACCAAAGTACAAGGAAATACTTAGGAAGAATATTTCGATTAAAAAGAAATGATTAAATCTCTAAATTTCATCTCTTTAATTTAGCTTTTAAACCCAAGTGTAGTCACAAAATCTGCAAAAATCAAATGACCTGTATTGATTTGCAAAATAAATACAAATTGCAATCACTACTGGAAAAAGCAGTATATTCGACAAAGAATTCTGTTGAATATGAATGATTTTCTGTCGATTAAAGTATAATCGACAGACATATTCGACAACTTTTTTTGTCGAATATACTGCAGTTGATAATCAGTATATTCGACAGCAACTTTCTCTGTCGATTAAA